CTTTTTGACCTCTTCTACTTTTCAATATTTTGTAGTAATGGGAAGACAAAAACTTTTCCTAAGCTGTTTCCATAGCTACTTATCTTCATCTTAAACAATTTAGAGAAATAATGTCATTTTTTATCTAATTTAAGTGTAACATCGGATCTTACTGTATCTTTGCCTGCTATATGGGACAATGTTCTGTTACCACACAGGTACACAGACACTGAACAAATCGCTACCAAATCCTTACATTTGATAGTATTAATGTATTAACAGCCATAACTTTTTCACTATGAGATTTGCAACTATTTGATGGGCCTTCTCTGAAGCTCCTGCAGTGTTTCTTATGTCACTCATCCTGCTGAGACTGTGGACTTACCAGCTCAATCCCCTCTCGATCTTATTCAGTTTCCTAACATCTCTACTTAGCTCTTTTAGCTGCAGTACATCTTTCTGCTGTCCTATCCATCCATCCTAACACCCACTGGAACAGTCAAATCCTCTTCTGAGTCACTGCTCTTCCCAGCACGTACAGATGGACATCACTTAGAAGCACGGCTTACGTTTGGCTACACTGTTCACTGAGAAAACTGTTGCTCGTGTTCTTTATTGACTACTATTCTCCCGCTCTGCATGCCATCAGGGAAGTCTGCAATATTATTTCATGTTTTCTTCCAGATCATTACCAAAAATACCCCAAATTAACTTATCTGAGTACACTTTATAAACATCTGAGTTTGGTTCAATGCTCTGAGGGAACTCAGCTTGCAGTGTTGCACTGAAACATGAAAGTGTATTTTTGATTTTTTTGAGTAGTCGCCTTCCTCCACAGGGAGGAAAAACAAAAAGAAATTAAAAGCATGGGGATATTCCCACCACATTAACCTAGGGCCCAAACTTAGGTCACCTTAGAAAGGTGCTTCTTTTTTTCAACCAACTATTACAAGACTACTCTTTCAATTCAGCCATGTGAATTACAAGATGTGGGTACCTACTACTTGCCCCTTCTCAAACGTACCACATCCTCAGATGGTGTACGCTGTCACAGTTATACGACCTTGAGCTTTCAGGAGCTTTCCTGAGTTACAACACATAAATCCTGTCCAGGTCTAAGACTTTAATGTAAAATTTTCAGAAAATTGTGGATTCTTACAATGCCTTATGTGACATATCTGATGAGAACCATACCCACCCTTTTGTCTACAGTGCTTGCAATCCCACTTGGCCTTTTGTACTGATAACTGAGATACATACCTAATCTACACACCAGGTAATTTGAAATCTGAAAACAACAGGCATGGATTTCCAATAGTTCTTCTAATTTATCTGTTGAAGAAGCTATTTTCTCAACAGAAGAAGAATGAAAATGCCACTTGAACGAGTGTGAGCATTAATTTAGATTTACAGCAAAGAAATGTTGAAATTGCAAGGATTATGAATTAACTGCATGCTGAAATGAGCAGTATATCTATTTTTAAGGGTCCCAATCTTTCAAGTTTGAAGTGGGTTTTTTTTTGTAGTGACATAATAGGAAAGTTGAAGTGCGTATTAACAAAAATAATCTAAGAAAAGACAAGAGTAAAATTACTAAAGGTGATCTGAGTGCTTGAAGAGCTATAACCTTGAGATTAGCATTTCTTGAAAGTTCATGGCAACAACTTCCTTGCAACTGTTTTTGATTATCTCCAGTTTATGATTATCTACATTAATCAGTGGTATTCAGATATCTATCAGAATAGAATCTATGTTCAACTTACTCAGCTGCCTCTTTTTGAGCTCTTGTAGGTGACATAAGCTATGACCTTCTCCCCCAGCAGAAAGGATGGCACAGCCAGAGAGTGCTCCAATAGAAATAAAAGTAAAACCACATTTGCAGAAAGCAAAAAACAAAACTAAAAGATTATTGAGCTGAATGACCTCCTTGAAGGGACTCAATGAAAGAAGAATCCTCCTCCCAAAAATCAAACCATGGAAAATAACATTGAAAAACACAAGAAATGACCAGATCCTCAGGTAGTGTAAACCCCTGCAACTCCACTGCTTTCAGCAGAGTCTGCTGATTCTCACTAGTTGAGGAGAGGCCTAGAGGTTTTAATTTTACTTTGCTGGGCACTGACTATTGCCAATGTGACTAACAATGATTAACTTCCTTGTTGCCATTGATCTGTGTAGATTTTTTTTTCTTCTCCATATTTTTGATCACCTTGCTCTCATCCAGGCAATATTTGTAGTCAATTTTTAAATGCATGTTTTAAGAATGTGGAAATAATAATTAAATTTGATCTGCTAACTGCTGTAGTGATCGTTATGTACTGCTTTAGAAAGAAGCTAAATTAGGCTCATATAGGTTCTAAATAGTAAATGACAATGCTTTCCTGTATATTTCTAATAGGTAACTGATTGATGACTCTTCAACTAGGGCCCTTAGAAATGACATATTTCCTCCGAAAAAAGGACATTATGTCTATTCTAATGTAGTTTTAAGTGTAATGGCACATTTCGAGGCATGCTTAGCTATACAGCCAATGACAACCTTACGGAGATACACCTTATTAGCTTTGACAGAATGCTAATAAATCTCCAGCCTGGAGGGTACTCCCTGGGGAGGCCTGGCTCCTTACCTTTGACATGGGGGATGAAGTGGTGTCGGAAGGGGGAGTTGGGGCAGGAGTCATGGTGAGTGGAGCTGAGACTGCTCGTGCGCAGGTATGACAACCGCTGCACACCAGTAGAGAGCAGCTCTGCGGCAGCAGGGAATCGGGGGGCAGAACAAAATGAAAACAAAGAAAAACAATAAGAGAAAGGCAGGGAAGGAGGCTTCAAAGGAAGAAAAAAAAAGGCATTGAACAATTAGGATTCTGAAAAGAAGGAAGGAGAAAAAAAAAGGTTAAAAAAGACGTACCAAAGGGTTCATAAATGTTAGACAAAATTACAGGAAGTATTAGAAGAGAGGCTCAGATTTGAACTGCATCACTAATTTAGCATAACATTTATTGGCTCAACGAGCTTCTGATCTATGCCTTGTTACCAAAAAGTAGCCTGCTACCAGCATGCAAACATCACAAAAATTGACGCTCAATTAGTTAAGAAAGCAGCTGGTTTGAAAAGTGCCTGACCAAAAAGTGTGAGTTAAGAGGCATGCAAGCTGTTTTCTATTGTTTTAAGACATTCCAAAAATGCTGCCAACATCAGCTAGGGCACTGCAGGAGGAAAAGGCTGCAAACTTTTTCAAAACTTGTAGCACTGCAATTTTTGAAGAACCTTATGCTGACAACGTCAACACAGTGGTTCACTTCTCTCTCAAGGGCTAGCTGGGAGCCAAAGAAAAGTTATCTGGGGCCACTGGGTTTATTCAGAGAGAAATTATTCTTGCAAACAACATGATGATAAGAAGTGTCATTAGGAGAAAAATGGTAAACAGACATGTGCTATTATTCAAATGAATAATTACTGTAGGAAAATTATAACGTATCATTAACAATTACCCCAAAGCAGGGTAGCAAAGATCAAAATGATAAATTCTACAGAATTACTTCTGTGTCATCTGAGAAACAGAAACAGGTGAGCCAAAGATGAGATCATCTGAACAGAGATAAGTTTGAACAAATATCTCCTCAGAAAATCCCTCAGGCTGCAAACTTTTGAAGATTTTACATTTGGATCCAAACTCCAGCTTGAGCCCATCCGCCCATCATAAGAGTTACATAAACAGAGACTGCTTCTGGGGAAGGTCCTTGACTGAACACAGATGGTAAAACTCAATCACAGTAAAGTCTGGAATAGGGCCTGGATTTGTTCGTATCCTTGAAATAACTGATACAAATGGAAAAATCCCCTCAGAATTTCCAGAATCAAGAGACAGAAGTTTGCAGCTTTTTCACGCTTTTAAGTCTCTTTTGGTTTCAGTTGTAACGTCATCTTAAAACACAGTCATGTTGTCAGCACTAAGTATCAGAAACAATTTGCTTCTGTCCCACCTCCCTTGGGTCCTTTAAATAAGGCATTCACTGACAGACACAGTTAGCTGCTTTCAGCTCACCCCCACTAGGAAATGGCTACAGCATTCAAGTTCCACAGTGGTGGCTCTTTATAAATCTTTAATTTTAAAAATGCAGCTCCCATTGTATATGGGCTTTTGGCATCCCAACTGTTCAGCTGTAATCACCAAGGAAGATGGAACTGCATGATTGTATCACAATTTAAAAACAGATCACAAAGATTTAATTCATTACCATAAGCAGTAAAATCAGTCTTGAAAAGTATTCAGTGAACAGCATTTAGAGACACATTTTTATGCAATTTGGGTGCAGATGAACAGTTGATTTTCAGATCTTGCTTTAATATACATGACCATTAATTTTGAATGCACTGGCAACCTGAATGACCTGTACATTTTCTATGCTGTACATAGAACTTGTACATCACTGCTAAAGCAGTAAATGAAGTTCGTGTTTTTCAAATGTTCCCAGGCAATTGCCCATGGCTTTAATTAAGAAATCTACCTTGTGAACCACGAGCCTGTTTTAAAAAATGACTAGCAATTTGGAATATCTGGGAGTTTTGCTGCTGAATCTGAGATTCCATGGCTGTACCAAGCTTTAAAGGAATTGTTTTTTAGGAGGGAGGAATCCTACATTACTGACTTTGTATAGTCAAGCCATAACTTTCATTTCCAGTATGTGAAACTTTTCCCAAATTCCAGAATGAAGTTTGTGATTCACTGCTGCAACTTTTTGCTCGCTTTCACAAACATACAAAGATATAAAAAATAATTAATCAGAAACAAACCCAGAAGATCCGTATTTATTATGTAAGAAACACTCATCAGCCTAGTGCAAAAGACTGCATCAATCAAAAACAAAAAAACTGGTAGAAAGGGAGATATTAAAATATGCAACAATTTTTCAATCCTACATTTTCAGTGCTAAAAGAAACAAGTGCTTCGCTGTGCCACTAAGTGACATTAAATAAAGAAACAATAGTTTTACATATACTTCTAATGTAGTTGCCCTTACCAGGTCTGTGGAAATGCTGAGGGGAACGTGACATGGTGGGTGTGTAGCTATGACGACTGTACACTGGAGAATTAATGGAGCCCTGACTAGTAGACCTGTGAATCATGCGATCCCGAACATCTTGATAACCCTGCAGAATAGAAGCATTCACTAATAAATGTAAATGCACATTACACATTTTTAGCAGCACTTAACTTTCATGAATCTGAAGACATCAGCAGAAGCTACTGAAATAACAATATCCCTTAAGCTTTCAACCTACTTCATTATTACTGATTATTCTAATGAACTGCTCCAAAGCCTCCAATCCATTTTTATAGCCTGAGTCAGAGTTGAGTCTTGAAAGGTTCCAACTCTACCTATAATATCTATTAAATTCTACATAATCCTAGATTTGCCCACATTCCTATGACTCTGTTAAGGGAAGCTGCATTCAGAGTATGTCTGTCCTGCAGCATACTGCACAAGATACGTGTGCTAGCCTTTGGCTACCTAACTTGGAGACCAGCAAGAAGTCGAAAGCTGCAGCACAGAGCTCTCTGTGGCTTAATTTACCACGTGTCTTTACTAGCTACATCAAAAGGTATTTAGTGTACAAATTAGATTCCCCTTGTATCTGAAAACATGACACCTTCTTGTATAGCAAAATTCAATTTACTTGGTTTCCTGGGGGAAAAAAGCCAATAAAAAACACCACCCCACCCCCACCCCCACCCAAACATCACCACTAGCCCCCAAACCCACAAAGCAAAGCAAAACAGGACGAAAGGAACAGGACTGCTGTTAATGCAATGACCACAACTTTTACGTTGCAAATGAGCAACGCTCCCCACCCCCAAAATGATAATGCTTCTGCAATGGCATCTATTTTATCCTGACAAATGACCTCCCAAATATTTCATGGTATTGTGATGTTCCAGTTAACTCCTAGAGAACAGCAAAACGAAACCAAACCTTAATTATGTTTTCGTAAAGACAAAACTGCAAATGTTTTAGTAGCAAAGATGGTATATTATTTAGATGCTTAGAGCAGCATTTTAGCTCATGTAAATCATCCAGCTCCTGTGATCTGAGTCCGCCTGTGCCACAAGAAGGATGAATGTACAAGAAGTGACCTCTGCTGGAGCAACGACTCTGCCCTATAGCCATCAAACGGGCAGGAGTGGTAGCTTCATTTTTTGTACAGTCTCCCAATACGAACTTAAGGTTTTCTTTTTAGAGTTAATTTTTGTTACGTTTCAATATTCAGAAAACATGTCTATATGGCAGAGATGGATCAGACTGATAGCAAAATCAACACTTGCATTTGCTGAAGTGAATAATTCTAATCACAGTAAGATACTGCCCCCAAAGGCTACACCAAACTTACTTCTGCGGAAGGGGTAGGTGATAATGTCCTTGGAGACTGCAAAGACATAAAAATAAGGTTACTGAAACGCCATTACATGTGCTGGGCCAGAAAATGGTCATCTAAACATTGCTGCAGATACACGGATATATGGCAATGCAAAATGGCAATGTAGAAATTACTGAAGGCATTGCAGCGCTGAAACTTGCTTTTTCCACATTGCTCAGGAACTGGTCCATAAATCATTGAAGCAATTAATGTTTCTGGGAGAATCTTTGTAAGCGTGATTAATTCAGTCAAATATCATACAACATCATCTCTCAGCCATCTAATCATTGTGGTAATTAAAACATAGCTGTAAAGATCAAAATCAGAAAGGGTTATTAATTTAATAACCATGCCTGTTATGAAGAAAACTTTAAAGTGGAAATGAAAAGTAAATAATCTTAACTCAGAGCTTTGCATGGCATCAGAAATACAGAATAACTTCCAGGACAAAGCACGTTTTTCCTCCAACACACGTATCTCTGGCAAAAATGTGCTTCTCCCCAAGGCCTTACATTTCATACCCATGCAAAGGAGTACGTAGTTGTCATCAACGTTTCTTTGATATGATCTCCTTTAAATCTCTGTGTTCTTCCACGGTTATGTAAGGAGAACAGACAGGAACTACAAGTGTGTATATTGAAAGAACGGCTCAAAGGCCAGTCGGCAGAAATATGCACAGTATTATGAAAAGTTTCTGTTACGGAGATAGGGAAACTGAGGCAAGAATTACCTTTAGAAATTAAGCATAAGATCACGCATATGTTGATGGTATGAACAAGAATAAAGGCTATGTATAATTACCAGTTACGTGCCCTTTAATCACAAGACAATTTGAAGCTGGAAGATCAGGATTTAATTATTTTCTTTATGCAATAAACTTCAATATTATTTAATTGCCATAATAAACTGGGCAAGAGATTATGCTTTTAAATAAGACCACAATTATTATAGAACGATACAGCTATTAAGATAATGTCTCAGAAGCAAACCTGCTGATTCTGGTCTAACTGTTACAGTAATATACAACAGCAGTAGTGCAAAACTTATGCAGAATTTCTGGTAATAAATATCCAGCTATACATTTTGCACTGAGAGACCATTACCTCTCACAGAGCTGGTGATACTGTGAATGCAAAGTATCCAAACGAAGGAGTGACATCTTTTATTCGGGTACAGAACACCTCCTTTCCAGCAAGTTTCCATACAGTTTTTTAAAGACTGCTTTTGTAACTTTCCATCAAAGCCCTGAATGTCTTTTACATTCTTGTTTTCCTAATCGTTATAACTGCACAAGTTCTATACAGCAATCCACCATTTCATTACACATCTAACAGCAGCAGTCATAAAAACTGCTCCACACCATACACAGTGCTTTGTAGCATTACTCTCTACAAGAACAACTGAGAGCTTATCTAAAACTTTCCATATGAATGAAAAAGCACGTTGTGACACACGTTCCTACATTTTTCTACTGGTAATCCATGTGTTACTGTAAATAAACAAATTTCCATAATCTGCTGTGGTTGCCTAGATGGTAAGGTAATGACTACTGTAAAAACTAGTCACAGGAATCCAAGACTGGGAAGGCATCCCAGAAAGTAATGTGCTGAATCCATGACCAACCTTTCATGTGTTTTTACTCCACCACTATCTGAAATCATCTTGTTGCTTTTTGGGAACCACAATCTGCAGCCAACTTACTGTTTTATCACACACAGGTGAACTGCCGTTATCTCAAACTCTGAGCCTTCCAAGGAAACTTTGGTTCTTCAGGCTTTATGAGGTCTTTTAAATAAATCTGGACTACCACAGAAGTCTTTACACTAGTCAGTTAGAAATACACTGTGCAGTTGACTGACAAGCAACAGCTCTGTTCCAGAATAGTAAGCTAGCAGATATACAGAGTGATGACTCCAGATTGCCAAAAAGTCTGGGTAGAGAACTTGTTCTGACCAAATTTACCGTAAAAATTCTGCTCACTGCAGTAGGCTCAATGCTCTATCACTTTGAGATCTAAGGGACTCTAATACCTGAAATTGTACAGCTCATTTTGAGTTCTGGGAAATTATGGCAAACATTACAGGTGTTGTTTTATAACATAAATTGCAGCATTTTAACTTTTTATTGAATTAACAGGTAGGACGCCTGCTTCGTTTTGAAGCAGCTATCACATTAGAAAAAATACTTTTCTCCATTTACGACAGCTTGTTTACTGAAAGCTGTTACAGACATTCAATGCTTTCAAGTGACAGAATACTAGAAACAAAGGACATGCAGGTAAAATTCTGCTTTTCACAATATTTATGCAGCAAAAGCCAGACCTGAGAAAACACTTGATCTCAGTGCTAATCAGGTTGCTGCTCATAGGGCAGAAGTTATAGGACATGAAAAACTTGAGTAACTGACAGTTTCTGGAAACGTTATCACTACACTAAAGGTCAGCCTCAGTAGTAGAAAATTTTTTTACAGATCTAATTTGTATTTGTTAATCTCTCTTACATTAGAAGCTAATCAACCTCTTCATGAGCTCCCTTTCACTCTTCCGGCTAACCGCTGGCAGATCTGGGACCAGAATGCCTGGTCCCGCTAGATGGTGCTGTGCGAAAACATTTTTCATTACAGACTTAGAAAAACAAGACTGGGATTTAATTGACCAAGAGAGATTATGGCTGAGAAACTTTTTAAAACAATTCCCTTCCATTGCAATAAAGAAGAAAGTCTCATGCTGTGTTTTCTCACTTTCTATGGCTAAAGAATACAATTTTCTGGTAGCTCGTTCCCTGCAATTAAGGTTTGTTTCCACTACTGGGTTAACTTGGCTCTTGTACATCTCCCCTGTACACCCAGAAATCTTCCTTAGCTGAGTTTGGTGATTTCTTTGTTTTTTTCATCATGGTGAAGGGCGTTTCTTGGGTACAGGCTTAAGTGTAGGCTCCCCTTTTGTTTAACACCACCACATACACACACTTTGCAAAAAGAATACAGGTTACATCACTCAAAGTCTGCAAATCCCTGCCATGACTAAACATGTCACCTCTTTTGCTTTTTAAAAATGGTGGTGACTGATGTATGATGTACTAAGATTGTTGTCACTTGATTACCACAACACAAACACAAAGTTAAGAGATCACTCCACCCCAATGGGCTTGTGTTCTCATTAGGGCAAGGGAAGGGAGGAGAAACAGGTACAAAGAGGTGAGTTAACTTGCCCAAGGTGACAGAAGTCAGCAGTAGCACTGGGTGGAAAACCCAGATCTTCTGAAAAGAAGGTGAGAGCCCTTCTGTTTCCAGAACAGATTTCTGTATTCACCAGAAATTAATTAGATTTAATGCTGGTGAAAACACAGGGTAAGAAAACCCCAAAGGCTTTTGCTTATCCTCAGAACAAGCACAACAGCAGACAGCTTCCAGCATACTGCTTTGTCTGTGAGAAGCTTCCCCTTAAGGATTAACAAATAGTTTACCTTCTCTGGGTGAGATTAGTTCCTCCTCTGTGACTAACAAGAGACTTGTGTTTGTAGAGGGTTTTGTGGAAAGGGTCAGGCCTGTAGGAACTGGCCGGAGGTCATCAATGCATCTCACAGTGGTTTTGAACCAGATATCAGCTGGATTCACGACGAACATAAATTTGAGGGGGGAAATTCTATAGTATTCTGACCTGTTAATCTCTTATCTCATTCTTGAGCTGAACAGTCTCCTGAATTTCCAACTCATGTTATAATTTAAACGACTAACCCTATAAAACATTAAAAGAATAAAGCAGAAAATCTGAGGCAGCTCTCATCTGTTGGTGGGCAGAACACTTTGCTAAGAAAGCAGATTATCAGTCACTGATCTGGGCATCTTCAGACCACTGGTACCTGAATGATTTACTGTACTTCCTTTTTCCTCAGCTCATCTTCATACTCAATTCAGTTACAGTCAGTAAAGTCACCGAGATTGCAAGGAAGTAAATTAATTTCCATGTCCATTTAGATTTGCATTCAGGAAGTCTGATTTACAGTCAGATGGTATTACATGACAAAACCTGCTTCACGATCTGCACTGGAAACATGTAAATAGTCATTGCAGCTATGGAAGCTCATCTGAGAAAAGTGGGGGACACTACAGCCTGAAAGAGATCTTTAAATACAAATTTAAGAGAATAAATTAGCAATTTTTTCCACCGTTGCAGGATATAAGAATCCTTACTAAATGTCAGCAGTTTAAAAGGCGAGGCAGCTATTCCCATAACACAACTAACCTGCCTTCCCAGGTGGAAGAGCACTTCATCCTGACCTAGTTCAGATTTTATCCAGTACATCTGGCAAAGTGCTTCAGAAATGTATTTCCCTTCAATATGCGTGAGAGAAAACATCCTGCTGCTCTTGATACTGTTACTGCCATAGAACATCATGGTATTCCTCATATTCAGTTATGATTATTGGTGCTCCACAGCACACCACCAGGTTGGCTTTTGCCTCACGTTCTCGACTTTGCTGTACCCAGAGACTAGGATATCCATGTGAGTTATGAGAATGCACACACAGCCAGCCTCCAAGCCTCCCCCTTGCCATTCCTCTGCCAGTGGCTGCTGTTAATGTAGGTGTGTAATTGCGTGTTTAACTGTGCAGTTTTGCACATGAGGCATCATCATAATTGTTCCCATTAAACCCAGACAAAAAGCACTGTGAACAGCAGCAGCAACAATATCTAGGAGTGTCAATTAGAAACTGTTTCAAAAGAGGATAGAAGCGAAGCAGGCTTTGAATAAAGCGTATAGCAGAATGAGTTGCTTGTTGGTTCATTACCTCTCCAAGACTCTGTCTCTCCTGTCTGTCCTCGTAGGCGGAAGTGTAGAATGGCTCATAAGTAATTAGATCTGGACGTTCAATGTCATAAATGGCCTTGACTTTGGGAATGGCTGCTAAATCCTTGTAATCAAGGATTTCATTGTCTACTTTTGCCTGAAGGTCAAAGACAGAAGACAAATTAACTTACACAAATGCACTGGTAATTTCTGTTTCACACAATTTTTGATTTTTGTGTATTTGTTGTCACACTGTTGCTACGGAAAACTCTTTTTGGCACTCTACATGCGAAGTGATTGCTTCTTGCTCTTCTCCAGCAGTCCTCCTCTGCAAAAGCACACAGTGTTTTCTCAATTTAGGAAAGAAAGAACATGGCATATGAAGATCTAATACAAAAGTTTCTTATCCCCAGTAGTGAGCTGGAAACTTCAGCTCTGCAAATGACTCATTTTGGGGCCTCAGGCAAGTATTTTCACCTTTCTGCTCTTGTTTTCCCATATGTAAAATGTGTGATAACATCAACTTAGTTTGCAGATTACAGAGATTGTGAGAGGATTTCACGCAGAAGACCACAGACAGAAATTCAACTTATAGCGGTGCACACAAGGGGAAATACAACTTATTACAAGGAAATAAAAAGTCAAGCAGAACTATTTGTCAGGACTGGGTATCCAAACTCCCAACTGAAATTACTTAAATTATTATAGTGCACTTGTCATTCAACCTATACCCAAGCTTCTAAGGCATATGCTGTTTACTAACTGCATACTACACAGTACTAACATTGACTATTTTTCCACTAAAACTGCAAGGAGCTTATGACTAGTTAAAAAAAAAAAGTAGGAAATCCATTCCTAAGGCAGCTGCATCCATTAGAAAGAGCTAGAAAGAGGCCTTACATACAGTTTACAAAGCTAGTATCTTTCCTTACTTAAAAGAAGATTTTAAAAAAATCATCATATATTCTTCCCTACCTTACAGAAACACATTTGATGATTAAAACTGAAGGAGAATATTCAAATCGGTTTTCAACTCCTCTAATAGGTATTTTATTTATTCATAGTAGCCTGCACAAGGAAACAAGGCTGATCTGTTTCTACTCACATTCAGTTCCATTCCCAGCACCTAATATTTTCAGCTTAAAGTGCATTTGCCTTCCCAAGCTCCCCTAACAACCACTGGTCTTGGTGGTTCTTAAGCAATGCCATAAATTAGAAACAATACAAAACATTTTTTTGATAGAGAAGTAAGGTTTGAATTAGTTAGGAAATTAGCTTTCTAAAAAGAGCCTCAAATCTCTTTTAGTTTTTACGCACCAGATATAACAAAATACCTTCAGCCAATTTAACCCTTAAAATACACAGGTATATTAACATATGTCATTTCTGTAATATTTTTACCACAGTCTGTTAATACGCTGCAAAGATGTCTGCATATTCTTAATCCAATATAAATTACCACAGAAATTTTTGTAGACTCTGGTCTAGGCCACCATGTTGCCCTACAGACTGTGCTGTTGAGTTAAATTTCATAAGCTATTGCTTATGAAGTTGATACTATCAGCAAAACGGCAGTTCTCCAGGACATGCTCTGTGTTTCAAGATCTGCAGTGTGTACATTTTTAATATACCAGTTAGTCTTTGTTGTTGTTGTTTGAAATGCACTGAAGAACTAGTATTTAACTCAAACTCAGGACTTGAGATTTGTAATGTTGGTAATTTTTCTGCATTATTATACATCTAACTGATAAATTTCTGTGTCTTACACTACAATGATGATGCCAAGAAGTAAAAGATATCTTCTAAAATAATGAAAAAGGAGGCTTGATTACTGAAGGAATCACATTAAACTCTAAATCTCAGGTAACTAACAACAAATAAAATAGTGTATCAATAGCTTTGCATTTTCAGCACTGTTAGTTTAGTGAAAGAAGGATGCTAATACAATTTTTATGTTCTTAAATAAAAAACACCTTTTCTTCCACAACCAAAACATCTGACTTCTGAAATGGAAGATGTTGTATCAGCCAGGCTGACTCTCCTACCTATGTCCCACAGCTGCAGACAGCAGACCTCCCAAGAACTGCACACCGAGGTGCACAGATCTCCTCACATAAATCCTAACACAAGTCAAATAACCTGTCTGCCTCCTGTCCCTCTTCACATCACCAAGTGATTTCAAGAGATTTACTGTATCTAACGGAAATGTGACCTGGAAAAGGCTTACTCTGCTTTTGAAATTCTGTAGTTATAAAAATGATGTCTGTCATGACGAGAATTTTAACAATTTAACCACTAGAATGAAGGCATTAGCATCAGTATAAAAGTTATTTCAGCATGGAGTATTTCATGTGCAAGCAAGGGATCGGCAGCTTATTCCTTAGAAGGAATACTTACATAGATAGTGTGGCCTGGAGAGCCAGGTATACTGGAACCTGGTCTGGAATAAATGCTTTCTGATGATGTTCTTGTAGGCTGAAAAACAAAAAGTAACTTATCAGAGCAACCTGAAGCCACTGACATTGGTAATTTTGGTTTTAAATGAAGAAATCTGCATAAATCTTGAAATTAACTGGATTTAGGAAAAGATGTCAACACAAATGCAAGCATTCTGGCAAATTTTGCGATCTTGTGAGGCAGGTGGGCTTTTTTTTTTTTGTTAGGGGAAGGAGTGCTGTGAGAGGTGAAGGAGGTTTTCTAAACCACACAATGTAAAAGACTGACAACAATAATGAACAAAACCAAACAACACCTGCCAGAGACACTGCAAGGCGCCATACAAAGTACAGTCCAGGATAGCCCTGCTGCTCTTTTTATCAAAATGTTAGTTCACAAACAGCTAGAGGTATCAGCAGCTCAGCAGACAAAACCGTTGAGAGGAGCATAGCACACACGTTACCACTTTCCAGATGTTAAATCACTGGATTTCCACTATGAATACAGAACTGAACTCAGTCCTTCTAAGTAGAAAGACCAGAAATCCTTGCCTTGGAGCTGTTTCCTACATCTGCAGCACAATCTAGAGGCAACATGAAAGCTAAAGTGTTGGTTGAAATTTCACGGTTCCCCATATTGCAAAAGTCCTGATGTCTAACGACAGTGTCTGGCAAACTGCAATTCATGAGAACAGCCACACCCCCACAGAGCGAGTGCTGTTACACATTTAGTGGACTTTCCAACACTTCATCAGAACTAAACAGACACAGATTTCCTGGGAGAAGTTTTGTGAGAGGAGACAAAATACCTTATCACCGAGATGTGGGGATCCTGAAAACCTGATGAATTTGAAAAACAACTATTCCATCAAGTCACCCAGGCTGTTGTGGCAATTACTCTTAAATTTGGCATGCAGCAGACACACAAAGGTAGTCAACGATCTCTCACTTGCAGCTGAGAAACCATGAACAATTTCTGCTCCTTAACTGACTGCAAAGAACCAAATCCTGTCACAAAGCAATGCATCAGCAGATGACTCTGATGACACTAGTGCAGTGGGATACTTCAAAGTCACTGAAAATTAAATCTGGGCAAATAGTCCTTACCTCGTCAGCTTGTGACGTTGATCTAAGGGACCTTCAGGCACACAGTGAAAAGAAACAAGGCTTGACAGCCCGGCTTGCTGCGTTTTTCTTAGGAAATATCTGGAGTGAACACAAGTTTACTGGACTTTTCTTATCTCTCAGCATACATTTCCTGAAAGGATCCTTTAACAGACCTCAGAGTCTTTCTACCTTTTATTTCATAGCCAGGAAAGCTATGGGAACCATCCGTATAAAAAATGCTGAAGACTAGTCGTGGATCATATGGCAGGCTTTCTCTGACTTCATTTGTGGAAATGAAATCACCACATTCTGGGAGGGTCAGAGGAATAAAAGGCTTTGAACGTGTTCCACCAAAAAACGTGAAGATTCAGATCAAACAGAGCGCAGATGTGGCTGTGGACTAACACAGTCACAAATCCTCTCCAGAGCATGTCTGAGAACACTTTCTCAGCTGCACCTTTATGTGTTTCTTTCCTTTTCTCTCTGTAGCTGCAAATTCCTACATCCCAAAATGGAACAGAAATTTCTCAGCAGCCCTTAAGCTCCTCTCATGATGCAATCAAAGCAAAAAAACACCAATAACCACTTGTTTCATGGAAATGTTACAAGAATTAAGCTGGAAAATCTGTCTGTTGTTGAGAAACGCTTTATTCCCCCTTCCATTCTGCCATTTCACACCACTGTCTGAGTGGAGACACATGTAACATGTTGCTGCAGTTGCTATGGAAAACAAGTGTTTTCATTACAACATAGGGGACAGTCTTAAGTAGCTGAGGTACCGTTAGGGGTGCCTCTGTTACCTTTGGCTTTTGGCAGACATACTTTAAGAGTTTTTTTCTGCTCAATTCTCCCTGTTGTAGGAAAACAAGCATTAGAGGCAGTTATGGCTTCTGCCCACCTGGCAGGCCCTCTTGGTTGCTCTTCACTCGGGAACTTTTATAATCACTTCAGAAAACAAGAAATTCTCAGCCCTCAGTCCACCTTAGTCTCATCTCTTAGCGTCACTGATAGAAACCTTTTCAGCAAAGGAAAACTCACTTGTATTCATCATTTCAGTGAATTTATTAAATAAAAGTTACGACATCTTAAAAATGGTTTCAGCCACATCCTGCTAACAGCTTGCTTTGGTGCGCTTAACCCTGGAGCACAGGAGCAGCACAGACTGGTAAGTTGTAGCACCTGTTCTTCATTTGCTCACTGTGTCTCTGCTCCAAGTTCCTCATTACCATCCCATTAGCACGGCCGTGAGCCACCTACGGCACCCCTAAAAACCAGTTTTCTATTTTCTGTAATTCTTCTTGCACACATCAATTTTACCTTCCACCTATTGCAAAGCTCCACATCCCCTGGGCAGGATGCCATCCTGCAGCCGCTGCCTGAGCACACACCCTTCCTCTCCTGAGGAGCTTAATCCAAGCAGACCTGGAACTCTGTGGCTCCTCTATTTGCCCCCAGTCCTGTATCTTGCTTAAGTTTACGACACACCCCTGAAAACAGTGCATGAAGAAGAGGTCTTCTACATCTACTCACCCGTCCTGCCTCACTTTGCCCTATTTCTTGTTTTGAATTACACAGGCTGTTTCCATTGCAGATGGCTATTTCCTACTCTGCTGCTCCCACATGGTCTGGAATCCTTCACAGCTTTGCACTTTTCCCTAGAGACAATTGCATTGCACTTAAAAACATTTGTGCTGCTTGCCTTAACAAACATACGCTAAAGATTCCTTGATATAAGCTGCTCCTCTGGCATACTTTTAGTTGCTATGGTTGGCTCCTTTCCTAAGGGACCTCCAATAACTCCTGACTGAAAATCTGTGATGGGGTATGGCTTTTACTAGATTGTACATTACATCTTCATTAGCAGTCGAGAATCCCCAACCCTGTGTACCACTGTTGTGACTTTATATCTTAAACAGGCGGCAAGAGACACATTGGTCGTCAAGTTCTCTATTGATGTAACTGCAATGGGGTGCAAATTCCACCTTAGAGAGAGCTGATCAGAGTACAGGTAAAACAAGAATAGCAGCCACCCCTGATTTAACCTTTAACTTTCAGTGGAGATACCACGTAAGCATCTCTTGCACACATTATTGGAAGACAGGTAAAGAAATGCGAGGAAACATCCTTCAGTATGAATGCATTAATTTAGAGCTATTTCTTTCCATTACAATAGTCCTACGACACTTGTTCTACACTCCCAGCAACAAAACAAGTTAAGCTGCCTTACTTCTACAAACAGATCTGGAACACTCTTTATGTGATTGTTCTTGTTCTTGGAGGTTTCAAATAGAGCTTTTCATAACACCACCTTTGTGCAGAGAAATTTCAAGCAAATTTCTATGAAGAACAGCTAATCTTTTTTTCTTTTCTTGTGGTGCATGGCCTTTCTCCACATCTTCTGACACTAGAAGAGTCATCTCTTTTTTCCTTTCCTTTTCCACTCAAATGGATGTAACAGTAGTAAATATATCAATATGGGATGTCTGTACCAGACACAGGAAGTCTATGAAGTATATGAAAAAAAAAAATCAATAGAAATTAAGTCAATAGATATTCATCCATGTCATTAAATGAGCCAAAGGAAAGAAACAGATCACAAAGTATCTAAAGTATCTGCAAGACTTCTCAGTATTTCCCACTTTATCACGGACTTCTTATTTTTATGTTTTTGTTCTTCATTCCACGCATTTGTCTTCAATGCAAAAGTTCTTTACCAACTTCATTTTCATGCTCATCCCATTAAGTTCCCTGTGAATTTCAATACTCAATCATTGTATCACCCATGCATATACCCCAAACTGATTAACTTGTTATTTTAATATTAGATTGCAAAGCTTAAGATGTTCATCTGCATTTATCTCAGTTTGTCATGTCATCATGCACGGCACATCATCTAAATAAATAGCTTCTTAAAAAAAAAAAATCCACGCTAAAGCCATTCACATCATCTAGATGCTGCTACAATGTGGTGGCTCTGGCTTTCTCAAGTACAGATGTTCAGAATCATGCTCTATAAAAACTTAGAAGTGCAGGCAACCAGATCAAAACTGATTCCAAGAACATCTGGCCAAACGGATGCACTATTGTTTAATAAAGGCATTGTCAGCATTGTTTACAGTACCTGCCTTAGTTTTTTGATGGAGTTCATTATGCAAGGCGGTGATAATAGCTGCAGAAGAATGAATATATTTTCACTTAACAATGTTTAACATTCTAGCTTAAGCAAATTCTCTAAACCTCAGAAGCTACTTTCAGTGAAGCATGTTTATAAATAGGATAATAGACGATTAGGATATAATGTATTCTACTAGGCAGACGCAACTTTGCAATAGCAAGGAATTTGGCTTTCTCAGTGCATTTTCTACTCTCCCTACCTGCTTCATCAACTGCAAGGTTTTACAGCTATTCAGGACTTGGAACCAGGGTTCGTTAAACACAGACTACCTGTGGATTTCAGTAATTTTCAGTTGCCATGTACAAGACTAATAAAGCACCTCAGTGTTACAGAATTCATTGTGCCTTTCTGCCAGTTTAACTACCCTTCTCCTTACAAGAGTTTTTCCTTCAAAAGCATGCATTCATTATTTCTCTGTCTAAAAATCTATACTATATATGCATCAAGACAAAACTAGTGAACAGGTTTAGTGCAAACTCAGAGACACACATATTAATAGGTTACAAATAATTTTTCTTTCCTTTCTAGTCACGAAGGCCAGAGAGGAGAATGAATTTTCAGCACATAATCATTGAAGGCACGCTGTTACCAAACCAACTCTTTTACAAGACTACTCATGCAAACGTAGCCTTCACCAAGCATAAGGTAAGTGGAAAGCAGAAGAAATAAAGTAGGAAGTCCACAACATACTGAATTCAACAGCAAACTTCTCAGAGAATTTACCCTACCATTTTCTACCTACAATTTTCATGTAGATTCAAGCCTTTGGCCCATCTTTATAGAAAAAGCAATGATATTATCTTTATGTCTACTCTGCAGACAAGCCAAAATCTGCCTTGAATTACACTCTGTATAACCAGCATGTAAATCTAAACAGAATTTAATACTGACCAAATTTACAGAAGAGGATATTCATCTGACCCTAAGCTATTTGTATCCTACACAGTCTACAAAGCAAGAAAGAGAACGTACCTTTATTTTGACATGGGCTGTTCCTATTTTGCCTTTTCTAATACATTGGATAGGATTTGTAAGGCTCCTCGATTTCAACACTGGAAATTCAGACTCGTGCACACTAAGCTGAATGCAAAGCACCACTACGCTGTCCTAAAAGATGAGTGAAATAGTTCCACAGTTGGCTGTTCTTAGACTCCAAGATTCAATTCTATAAAGCCTAGGGCTGCAGAGACATTGTCCTCCTTAGGAGTACTGATAACACATCTTTATAGCTGTATTTTCTTGATACATAGTTCTCTAACTAACAGCAAGAGCGGCGTTCAAGAGTGATTAATGCATCGCAACACCCTAAGTTAACTGACTAAAGCACCATGCAGGACGAAGGGTACAGGGCTTGCATTACCTCCCATTGAATCACAGCACTGGATTCAACTGTTTACCACTACCCTGCAGGCTGCACCTCACACAAATATCTTGCCCTGGCTGATGATATGACTACGTCTACTTTGCAATTAGAGATGTGAAGGCAGCATGAGCAGACACAATGGAAATCCAGTGGCATGGACTCTATCAGCCTGTCTGCCTACTGCTAGCCTGTACTAAGTCTGTACCGGTACATTCTTACTTCATCATCAGGTGAAAGCTACCTCAGGTGTGCCTGCATGCAGTACAGCCACATGTGCCCCCACAGCAGACACCACTAATAAATAAGCACTGCCCTGAAGGAGAAGAAATGGAAGTGGGTGGTGTTTGTAGGTGCAAAGCAAACTCAAGGAAGTCTGAAAGTAGAAATTCCAGAATCAAGAGGACAGGGAGGACCTCCCAACTCAGTCGTGGACATGCCCCAGATTAGAGAGAAGCAAATGTTCTTGGGCAGCACATATAACATGTCCAAACCTGGAATTTTGTAAATATTCATATATGTATGAATATTTGTATATATGTATTCATATGTAGTTGGTCACCACATATACAGAAGCAACTGATTTAACTGGTGGCATTTTTTTTCTAAAAAGCATGAGCCATTGTTCATGAAAAACTATTTCTTTTTAACTACCACTTTGAAGTAATTTTCATTTGCTTCATATTTGCACTCTAATTTTTTTAGAAGAAAAACTTTCTGTAACACTGGAAGAACAATACCACAGCCCCAAAAAGCTCATCTGAATTGAAAAAAAAAATTTTAAGCATTTCATTAAACAAAATAAAAAAATGTAAGAATTAACAAACAACACTGCACCACATGATGCAAAATTCAGCGTCAGTGCCCAGGGTGGCAAGTGATAGCAGGAAAGCTTTGTGGCAGAAGTAATAGCAAGCGCAGCAAATGACAATCATGAAGAATCTTCTCAGTAAAGAAGACCATTATCAACACTATGCAAACACAACAGCAAACCTCTGCAGAGCGTGGCCTGCGCAGAACCAGACTCTTTGGATAAAAGAACTCAGATGAGGAATGCTGTCATGAAACACAAAAGGGAAAAAAGAGTGAAAAGGAAAGCAATTTCCCCAGCTCAGTGGTTAAGCTCTTTTTTTTTTTTTTCAATCAAGTTACTAATACCTACTTGCTAGATAATAATCTGTGCATTATACATCTATGTTGCTTATTAACCCCTGCAGAATCATGAACAACCAGACAGTTTTAAAAAATTCCTAAGCAATGTGTATTTTTTAACATATATATTATGGTTGCTTTATTTTCTGCTTGTTTTGGCTTTGTAATCCTCCACAAATATCCAGTGGGAGGAAGATCTAAAGCAACCGTTGTTTTTATGAACTCCCTCTCAGTTCCTGACCAGCTAGAGTGCCGATTAGTTAATACCACAATTCAGTTACTGAAAGAAAACAGAACTTGCTGAACACTTCTAAAGCGACTTCAATGATAAAAGGGCCTTTTGTTTTGTTTCCCTCTATAGGGAAAGGAAACCCGGCAGAGCAAAGAGCCCATGTCACTGGCTTTTTGCAGAACCACCAGAAAATCTAGCCCGACCCTGAAAGCTGCTGTATCATATACTTGTCAACTCACAAACTAGATTCTGATTCTTGTATCAGGTCTAAATGTGTGTCACCAAGAAACTGAAAGTCAATCAAAGTACAGTTCATAATTTAGTGGTGACATATTCAAATAGCACATAGTTACTCCAGTTTTATCTTTTTCTGTACCTACCTGTTTGCTACTGCCTTCATTTGAGTCAGCAGAATGAAACGTGTCTAAGTCATCAAAGTAAACTCCAACTGATTTTAAAATAAGGTGCCTGACTTTGCGCTGGAGTGGAGACTATTTGTGATGTACAGCTGAAGCTAAAAATTCTCCATATCTCCAGCTAGCTTCAGTGCAGTGTATTTTTCAATGCCTTTTAAAGACATATTAAAGCTCTGCATAGAAGCTCTCATCCAGGAACAAGGCGACCTTGGATAGCTGTGCCATAATATTTCTCAGATGTTCCCTTAATATACATTTTTCCGCTTCACTTAATTTTTTTTGCAAGAACTCACTTAGGCAAAGTCTTGCAGGTGGATGAATTCATTTACTTCACTCATGTCAATTAAAATTAGCTGAGGGGGAAGAAGACTGACATGCTTGAATGTGTGATGGAAGAAAGGAAAATATTTGAAGAGGACTTTGGCCATTTCCATAGGGAATGGAAATAAGCCAACTGATTCATGAGGCGAGCTGGAGAAGGTTCATAAGCATTGCAATGTAGTCAGAAGTGCTTTGATAAGACTCTTAGGTCCAAGTGAAAGGGAGGTATTGCACCCCAACCCTTCACTACAAAGCACAAGTGTTCTGACACTTAAGCAGGGTCAAAACACTGTCTTACATTCAAATTCTTAAATAAGGAAGAAAATCCAGTCTGGCATAATTTTTGATTTTCTTATGGAAAGTCAGGACAGAACAATGTGCAAATACCTACAGTGATGTTTGGCTGTGCTAGAGTGAATTATAATTCTGTATTAGCAGTACAGCCCATGCTAACATGGTATTTGCTCAACAAGAATTTATCTTGCACATTACCCACGATCATAATAAATTCTCTGCAGAGGACGTTTTACAGACCAGTGTACCTGAACAAATTCTAAAGGTTGTGGCTTCTTGTCAATGAGCCACACATACAACACAACCCGCAGGATATCCTACAGATCTCCATGCCTGTCTTAGTTTCCTTGTCTGAAAGATATTTTATTCATATACAGTCTCTAACATTCATATCCAGAAATCTTATCAAATTTCAAAGGACCAACTGAGACATCAAAAAGAGTAAATGGTCCAGAAGATGCATTAGTGAATATGGGCTTAGAATTGCCTGGTACATGCAAAAAGCCAGGCTCCAGCATTTATCAGTGCAGCATTATTGCCATCAAGGATTTGATCCAGAAAGTTTGTCTGGATATGTGAGGTGACTCCAAAGGGAATTGCAGCTCTTCTTGGCATTCAAATTCATCATTTTAGGGTGGGACTTATTTCGATGGCAAGGGAAGAAGAGTCCATACTGTCTAAATGCTGTAAATAACCATCCGGAACAGGGGACAAGTATAAAGCAGTTATACAGATATGCAAAAATACTAAAATATATCATAGCATTTGCCCTGCTCACATTTTCGCTTTAAGAATCTCTCTCACAATAATTGAGATATGAAATGAAGTGTTTTAGTGACTTTGCCATGTCTGTATGTCAGTAAATGATACTACCTTTAAGGCAGTGCACTGAGACAGGTATGTGAAGGTGATAAGCCTAAAAATCAGAGCAATACCTCTGAAGTGCATCCACTGTTTATTCTGCCAGAGTGGTGACAGCTATGTGAAAAAACATGGGAAAAGTCACTCTTTTAAAAACAGCATTCAGTTATTGTGTGGGCAAAATACCTGGTGTGTCATTGCCACAAATTCAGCTTACCCGCAACTTATCTTCAGTCTTAGTGGATTGCTTACAGTCGGGATGCCAGACAGTGGAACCTGAGGGAGGTAAAAACCCAGAAAAAAATCTTTATTCAGAGTAAAGCAGATGACTTCCAGTCATGACAAGTCAGTTATTAAAGAGAATCCCTTCATTGCATCAGATGGTGAATCTGTATGAACTATGCAAGTAATTCACATTCAATTCTAGCTCATGGGAAACACAAGTGAAACAAAAAAATACTCAAATCCCTGGCCCATCTACAGCAGCCTCTTCCTGAGGCTGTCAAAGCACTTTGCACACGTTCTTAATTAAAACTCAAACAGCCTGAAGCAGCAAGTCAGCAAGCACCAGCTGGAGGAACTGAAAGACAGAACGTTCCTCTGAGTAGGATGGAGGGTAAGAGAAGAACTCGGCCATGGTTATCTGATCTGTTCTCCCCTTATGTGCTGCTCCACACATAAAAAGGAAGTTCTGACTATGAGTCCATTAATACTGGGAAAATCCTATGGCTTCCTTGAGCAGTAAGTGTCATATTCAGTTCACCTCTCCCCTGCAATTTTGCAAAATGCAACAGCAAAAAAGCAAAATTAGAAACATCACAATGCAGCAGGGTCAGGGCTGTCTCTCACCCACTGCACTAAGCTAGAGGTGCCAGTATGATGTAGGTGGTACAAAGCAGCACGTGCAAGAGCCTCTCTGTAGATCTCAGTGTACCATACTTGCCATTGGCACACACATAATTTCTACCCCTTGCTCTGCAAGGGCAGTTGGATGTGTTGCACTGGCTTTTCCATGGCATATTCCAGCTACGCATCCTAATAAAAAAGGCAAGGTCTCTGCTGTTTGTGTCCAAAAACATGGGGATTCTCTTTTATGCTGTAAAAATGGAAATATCCATCTGTCCCCAAGGGCAGAGCAGCATCAGGGGCAAGGAGGACTTCCATCCCATCTCAGCCCTCCGATGGAGCAGAGTGTAAACTGTGGTCACTGCTGGGAAGCTGCTGGCAGGTATTAGCCAACTTGAAATCAAGCAGAAGCTAATGCTGATTTTTAACACTGACTGCAGCCGCAGTCAAACTTTATTCCAGCCACCGCAAAGCCAATACAGCAACTTGTCTGTCTGGGGGGGGAACATCACCTCTTCACTCTGTCCACAAACACAGCAAACAGAACAAAGTCCAGGTCTCCTGCTGGTGACTATTAGCTCAAGTGCAATCAGAGGAAACCCCACCCTACGAGATCAGGAGAGGTATGGGTCATGGCCCCTGGAAATTTTGTTTTAATGAGCCCTTACATGGCTTGGTACAGAAGTAAAGACCAGCAGGGATGAATTTCCT